ATAATTTGCTTCGTCTGGTCGAGTAGTGAAACAGAAAACTGATTTGTTGTAGCAGTTTTCAGTCAGGGTGCCAAGGCCAAACTTAAAGCTTGACTTCAAAGAGCAGACAAGTAAGGCACATATAGGAGGTTATTCAATCAACCTTTCCTGTTTCACAATTCTTACAAGTAGAAGAGAAACACGTTACTGCTTACGCTGAATCTTACAGCTCAGTTAAAACAGTAAAGTCGACAAAAAAGTCGAATAACTATGTTGCAGTCAACCTAATACTAGTGGCTAACACTAGGCTTTCGCTGTTTCTCCCTGGAGTTCCTAGAATTACTGATTTAGTACCATGATCAGGATCTTTTTGCTATTCGTACCGAAGCCATGCCAAACCAATTTTTTACAAAAAATAATACTTTTACTGTGGCTGTTGTTTCACAACCTGTAAGATCTTATTCCGGCAGAGGGACTTCAATACTTACTTTCCACTTAATTTATGGAAGCAGGCGTTATACCGTCGGTAGACCCTTCTCTGGAACTGAACTGTTCACTCTTTTTGCGAATATTAAACTAAATTAATATGAATCCAGACATCGATAACTGAGAGGTTCGGACTGGGCACAGGTAGTTGACTTATTAGTATGTTATATTTAGTTTGAGCAATTTGCTCAGCATGCAAGTCACGAGACTTGGATGGAGCCAATGGCTATATTGGACTGCTGGGGTATACTAGCTCAAACACCACGAACAAACGTGAGGCACCAGGAGTCTGATCAGGAACAGTTAATTTCACTCTTTGAAGCACTGTCTCTTTCTTCTCTAAAAAAATTCAGTTCTAAGTACACGCTCTTAAAAACCCTATCAGTAGGTATGTTTAAGCTTACGGTAAATCTGACCATGGCAGAGAACATATATTTTTAGAACGCTAACTAAAACAATCTCACAAGGCATCGAAATGAACAAAAAAGTACTTGGAAAACAACCAATCTTCGAGAACTAAAACCTAAATAAAAATTCCCGTTGAGGACTCTAGGCAAGGCAAAGGACAAACCAAATCATCACTAACCATGACGATCATCGTCCGAGAGTTAAGTCCTACTACAACGGTCAAGGACACATCACTTAAGAGGTAGAAATAATGTGTGGTCTTGCAGCACGTAGCAAACTAAGGCTCAAAAGACTCTCATAAGGATTTCAAGATAATCTAACAGCCCTAAACAATTCCCAAACATTCAGTGAAACATTCCTAATTTTAGTAGTTCCCAAGAACTTCTAATTTTAGCAGTTCCCAAACACTTCTAATTTTAGTAGTTTAAATTGGCCAGGAATCCTACGAACGGCAGTGGAAACTTATCATGAAAAGGGATTTTTACTATGCTTTCTCGATCGTAAGATCATGTGCTAATCATCTCTTTGCACAAGCAAGGCATTACGTGAGTTTACATTAGGAATAAGTGAGAGCTGATGAACGACTATCAATCCCCTGTCAGTTCTAACTGAGTCACTTAAACGAACGTGAGCACCAACCTCATCAACAGTTGAAGAGTTGAACGTTTGTGCGGTTGGAGTTAATGAGTGAAGCCTAACATTTTTCATCAAAAATGAATTACGTTTAGAAAATTCCTCACACGAAGTTGACGTGAAAATGAAAATAATAAATGAAAAGTTTAAAAAATTGAGAAAAAAAATTAAAATCCTTGAAGTTAAATTAGGAAAGTGTGACCCGTGTTGATGTTTTTTTTTTTTTATTACATCCCTTACACGGTTTAAAGAAGAGAATATAAACTGCTTATATTCTCATGGTTCAGATGCATGTTTAATGTTAAAAGTGAATGCTTGCTGGATATATGTGTTAATCTGGTTGACAGGGATTTTGCCGCTTGGTTCGCGAAAGCTTTTATACCTTGGTGGGGAGAAGAAGGAAATCGGGGGTTCCCCGTCTAGCTCTAGTAGCATCAGTGATTCTTGATTTCAAAATTGCCAAGGCCACTTCTGAAGATGATGAGAAAAAAATTTCAAATGATAATAATAGTGATGACAATACTCATGAAAGATAATTGGATGTGATCTTAACAGATCTTTTTCATGCGGTGGCTATGTCGAACTTCGTAGAATAAGGAATTTTGATCTTGTTCGTCGAACCCTAAAACGAAAACGACTATGCAAGGTTGATTCGGTTGATCGGAAGCATTATGATTAAGTGTTTTGTTGTTCGAAAGTCTCGTGAAATTGTTTGGTTTAGTGTTCTAACTACAAATTTTTAATATCTCAAGGTCAGCCAGCTGGCATGCTCCCTCGTATCTATCAATAGTGAATATATAAACATGTTCTTTAGAGCTTACTTAGTGAAGAGTAGAGAAAAGAATTTAGACAGCGTGCACAAGTACAGACAGAGTTCTGTAGTTGAAGTGAGTGTTTGGCAGCAGAAGTCATTGAGAAGTATCCAGCGAGAAGCTAAGAGATTAACCAGAGTTACAAAGAATGAAGTAAAATTGAATGAAAGTAGAATTGTGTCTTGGAGAACCGAGTAATTAAATAAAGCCGAAAAAAGACAATTCGAAAGTCTTTGGTGGTTTTCGCTTAACATGGTGCATTCTGCAGCTAGTTTCCTTAACATTTGATAGCGTAACAAACCTTTAAATTACCCCAACTTGTTTCGCTCGCCCACTAATATTGTATGTTGGCCATATTGGAGTTGATCTGTTAATACGGGGCTTCAGAGGGGAGGATAAATAGTAATTTTTTTTACAAATTGGGGAGGGTCAAACCTGTTTTATTCGAAAGTGGGGGAGGGCCGCAGTTTTTTTGGCGAGGAAAAAATGACTCCATGTCGCTTAGTTGACTTTTATTTGTTAACAAACACGCGAAGTGTATAGAAACCTAAAACTTGTATATACAAGCAAAGCTACCAGTCAAGATTAATCTAAATTATTAACAGGTGTCGAAATATTAAATCAAAAAACTATCTTCTCCCAACTAACATGACCCGTGACCCCGACCCCATGACCCATAACCCCGACCCGTGCCCGCTTTCGTCCATATTTTGACGGCGGTAATGTTTTCGCGCGGGGTTCTGGTATAAAATCAGTCTCCGGTCACGATTCGTCACTTAAGCTACTCGGGCTTGAACCGACAACTCGATCTACTACATCACTTTGCGAGTCAGTTTCAACCTCGGAAAGTGATGAGGTCACTTGTTGCTGCACATTTCTTAGCGGGGGCTGCCGAGGTTGTTGACACCCCATTGAATCGTACAGCAAGCTGCCAATGTGTGATTTGATCATTGCGACCTTTTCAGATTTCTTCCCTTTGAAGGTGATCTTCTGATGGGAAAAGTACAAGGATAGCTCGTCCACCCTAAAGGACGACAGCTTATCGGAGTTGTTCAGTCCAACCCAGTCAATGTCATTGTACTCCTGGTTCAGCTGTTCCATTCGCTCTCTTTCGGTCTCCTCTTTCTTCTTCTCCTTGCGCATTTTTATATGAACAAGGTGCTCAACATACTCTGCCACAAGCTTTTCGGGGACAATGCATTTATCTGAAAACTTTCTAATAGCCTCACTGTCCTCTCTGACTAGTTCACTTTCCTCAAACAATCGCTTAACCAGAAATTCTTCATCCGCATCGTGACTAAATTTGTGGCCAGATTTAATATCCCGTCCCTTTTAAATCGAACAGCGTATTATCATCTTCAGTTACTTTCGCATTCAGCTCATCGATTTTGACCTTCAGCTTTGAAAGGTCATTAATGTTGTTCTTAATCGTGGTAGCGTCATGGCATTTTGCGCTAAAATTTTTCCTCCATAAATCTCCCGGCAGCCGCTGGATTATCAGAAGTCACAAAAGTCAACTTGTGATTCATTGTTTCCAAAGCCTCGCGAACTTCCCACTGGCGCTTTCTTTCAGTCAGAAACAGCGGCGAAAGCGTTCCTTGTAGGGACAAGTGGTCCATAAGTACAGGTAGAATTTTGGAAGAATACTATTTGAGAATTCAGTATATTCGCTCTTTGGGTTCGGGAACCACCCCAGGTCTTCATCTTTCCACTTCTCTGGACTTGCACTTTCACTTGTTCCTGCACCCGATGTACCGCCAACAGAGTCAGAGGAGTAGTGGGCATCCTATTTAGAATGGCGAGTCGGCAAACAGCCATAATTGCCACAAGTTGCTCCATCTGACCTCATGAAATCCTCGCATTCACCACAAGCGCATTTCCCTCTTTCTATTCCTTGTACATCCTTTCCCATTTTCAAGTTTTCACCGTGCAATCACACGCCGCGCAATTAACTGCTTTGTGCGCAGACGCGGCTATGTGAGTAACACCTCAGGTTAGTTATTTTCACTTCCGGTTATTTTTTGTCATGGAGAAGGTGGGGGGAGGGTCAGATGTTTTTGTGTATGTATTTGTGAAGGGTCATGCATTAATCCATTCTGGAAAGTGGGAAGGCCACGACTTTTTTCGCAAAAATTTTCTAAAACACCCACCCCCCCCAATAAAAGCGTACCTTCTCTTAGTGTTAGTACCCAGTAATTGTATTAGAGCCAGCTTTTCAATGTCTACCATCTATATTTATTGTCCATATAGTAAAAATAAAATTACACGTTAGCTCAAAGATATGAAATTTATGTTCTCGTGGCAACAACATTATCTCACTCGATCGCTGCGCTCATCCGTGATACTTCGCGCCATCGTGTAATATCCTCTATGTATCCACTCCGCTACGTAGATGTCTCTTCAGTCTGCCTGGGATCTGGTTTGCGATTTCTGATCTGTCAATGAAGTCTGATGTGAAGTTGAATGAAAAAAAATCGGTGATAAAATGAAACACAGAACAGAATGGATTCTTACTTGCACATCAGAGAAATAATCGCGGAATGTATGTAAGTCGAACCCTTTGCTACACTTAGCAAGATTGGGGATTTTAGGCCTAATCCCGTATGAGGTCACGTGGGGTCTTCCCTAGACTAGATCAAACCACCTTATGATAGTTACATTAGGTAGTTACCAAAAATCCAATATGGCGGAGGTAACGACAGTTGCGAGGCTATTGAGGGTTTCAAGCCTGAAAGCTTAGAATTGTTGCTCGGATCAGATAAATATTCTAATGGCTAGAGAAAATGTTTGACCAAACTAATACCTCGGTACTGGAAATCTGGTTTGCTTTCGTTAGAGGAGATGTACCATCATCCAAGTAGAGCCGCCAAGACAGGACGAGTGGTTGCTAGGGATGTAAGTTTAGTTTATATCAATCGCAGACATGGCATGCTGAGTGATGATTAAGGAAATATTCCGTAATCCTGAGTTCTGTATGTTTACTACAATATTTCTTGTTCTGCTATTCATAACAGGGTGCAAATTTCGGCTTGCAATACAGTTTGCAAGCTCAAGCAACTCCAGTTATTGAAAGACCTCCTGGCAAGCAGGTGAGTAGAGATATCTCACACATTAGGAAGCTTTACTTCACGCATCTTGTTATTTTATTGTTAAGGTAAATTTGTGCCAATATGGAAACATCTTCATTAAAAAAATTATAGACACTGCGGTAAAATATCCTTAAAAGATCCAAGTTGTATGATTATTTTATTTCACCTAAAGATCGCTAAAGTATCTCGTCATTGACCTGGTAAGAAAAAACTGTGCTTGTCATTTTATCAAGTGAACAAAAAATTTCATTGTTCAGATTTTTCATAGCCTGTTTTTCTTCATTTATCACTGCATCATGTTAATTGTGGTACGGTGATAAGTTGATTACAAATGAAAATAAGATTACCACATGTGATGGTCGTTTCACAATGCCTGAAAATCATAGGCAATCCCAGAGTGGAAGCAAAACCCTCACAGTCGTGAGTCTGGATCTTTAACAAGACCAGCATCAAATACAAGGATTGACAATGGAACAAAGTATCGGCACACCATGTCACCTCCCCAAGATATGGAACGTCCTTCATCTATTTTGCGTAAGTAATTCAAATTTCCCCATCAAATTGTACATTAACTATGAGAAAAAATATACATAATAACAGCATGTCAAATGGCATATTTATTTACTGTTGTTTGAAAGACATATCAAGAGAAGTCTCCAAATTGGGTTGCTTTGGTTGGAGCTCTGGCAGGGTTAGAGGGCCTTCCTCCAGGCATGATCATAAATGGATACTGTCAACCAACTATAGTAGTGATTTGACAATAAGATGATGTTTCCTTGTCAAATTCATGACCTAGATCATCCAGTCTCTTACCAAGATAAAATCCAACAGAACATGGTGGCTGAATACATTGACTTAAAGAATGCAGTTACATGTGCATAAGCACAGGCAACCCAAAACTAACAGCATATGCTATTATTATTATTATATATAGGTATTTATAACGGCTATACATGGCCATAATGTTTGCAATATTCTTCTGCAGTTCCTAGGGTACAGCAATTATACTAAAAGGGAGACTCAATACTTGATTGGTATAATTTAGCAAGATTGTATAGCAATACTGGTCCTTACATGCAGATTATTTGTGCTCTGAAAACCAATTGTATTAGTCATGTGGCCCAGCTCCATTTGGATGGTGTTTCCTTTTATACTTATTCATAAATAAACTTTTTTTTTTCCAGAGTATTCCCATTCAAGTGTTGATCCAGTGCAAGACACAAAACAGCATTATGCTACAACATCTTTCAGAGAACTTCATAAAGTACAGCGTCAGGTGTTGCAGCCAGCACCAGCCTATGTTGCAGACCATTCAACTGCCACAACAGGAGCAATGGCCATAAGTCAAAGTAAAGTGACCCAGGAAGGTACATATGATGATAGTCTACAAGGACGACAAACATTAAGCGCAGGATCACAGTCTCAATCCAGAAATAAAACACAAGTGTTTTTACCAGGTGAGAATTGTAAATATGCAAACAAAGTATATATTTATTAAAATGTCTGTCTAATTAAAATGCACTTGATAGGTGTCTTACACTATCACCAGAAACTATTTAGCTACAGGGAATGTAGTGTATAGTGATGCCCATGTGTGGAAATGAATGCAAGTGATGTAATACACTTGGGACCTAAGAATTTGCATGTATATATAAAGCATGTATTTAATTTATTCTGAGAGTTCTTTTTGGTTAAGAGTTAGTGTGTAACGGTTGTGAATAAATGGTTTTAACTAATAACTGCGGTGTACTACAGTGACCATCACTCTTGAGAGCTTCTCCTAATGAGAATGTGATTTTGTACTAGACAAGAGGTTATTTACCATCAAATTAAGAAAAGGAGGATTTAGGACTCAATGTCAAAGCAAAGTATGGGAACACATTTTACTTTCTCTGTAATACTGATCAAGCTTGCTGAATTAAAAAAGGATGAAGGCCTATTTATTTTTTTGGAGTGTTTATTTAAAATTTTGAAAGTATAAGGAATGTAAAAATTGTATCCACATTGTGACATTTATTATACCAGATTCTTTTCCATTTAGGGGACAGGGTTATATTTGCTGAGTCACCTTCATTTCCTGGTGTACCTATTGTTTATCGCCTTCCTGAGGAAAGGCAGGCAAATCCTGACAGGCTCAACCTTGACAGGTACAGTTTAGTATGTGATCATTAGATTGTGATAAATCAACTTCCCTGGGCACTCACACTTCTTGATCCACACAAGCTATTAGCCTTTGGAAACCCTTTATTACTACAGAAAACTTTTTTAAGTCAGCAAGAATAACTGCGAACTGTGTGTTGGAATGTCTAATAGGGAATGCAGTATTTGCAAGATAGTCTACAATATATAATTTTATTTAAACCTCAAAATAGTATTTCCTGGATTAAAAATATATATGTATTTTTCACAATTTTTCCTGCTAGGAGGAGGTTGACTACTTGCCCAATTCTGGAAGGTGAAGACTACCTGAGACTTCTTAACTTTCAACACAATCTAATTAGTAGAGTCTCTCATCTAGAAAACCTTAAGAGACTGATCTTCTTGGATTTCTATGATAATCAGATTGAAGAAATTTCAGGTCTCTCTGCTCTGCGATCACTCAGGGTACTCATGCTGGGCAAAAACAGGTTGGTAAATATAGGAACATGTACAGTCGTGATGATATTGCAAAGGGAAACTACTTGAAAGTTGCACCCTTTAGTGGCTACATAAAAAAAAAGTCTGGCACACAGGTCATGAAATCTGGTATATGTACATTTAAAAGGTACCTTTTGAATGGCTGATAATTATATATTTCCAACCACTTTTCTAATAACAGTAAATCAGGTGGTAGTATTTCCAGTAAAAGCTTGTGATAAAGATTTTCTAACTTAGCTTGACAATCATGACAAGTAAATAGCAAATTGCATATTTCCAGTGACCCTTGACTTTTCAATTATTTTAAACAACAGGATAAGGAATATCAGTAATTTGGATTCTCTCACAAAGCTTGATGTTTTGGATCTGCATGGCAACAAAGTAGGTGTAATGCCAGTAATGCATGTATGTAATGGCAACTGTGGAGACTTTTACCATGGAACTTAAAGTGGAGTCATTGAACCACATTGATCATAACAGAATTCTTTTGAAGTTTTTTCTTCCATTAGTATTTATGATTAGAAATTAAGATTGGTAATTCATTTACAGTTGTACTGCACCTAAAGTATTGCAATATTGGTTGAAAACTGTGGAATGAATAAAACATACAAAAAAGCACATAACAACAATGACAACCAAAAAACACAAATGCTGGAAAACCAAAAGGGAGTTTTTGAAATAAGTGAAGTTAAGTCTCCATACAAGTCTGGCAGTGTATAGTTGTGGAATCAAATTCAAGAATATAACACAGTCTGGAGGATTGTATACTGTAGGTTCTAAAGTACACCTTGAAATCTGAAAATTACTTTTCACAACTTTTATGTCATCAAAGAGCTATTTGTAATCCTAAAACCCCACTTGTTTGTTGTAAATCTGTGAATTTCTATTAAAGGGCTACTGCTAAGCCAGTTTGAAGATCAAAGTTAATTAGTGACTCCAGGCTGTACACACATTTGAAGTCTTAACTATTGCTCTACTCAATTTATATGCTTACAGAACAAGAACTTCATCAATTTTTTACTTTAAATTTATTTTTCATGAACTTGCAGATAGTAAAGATTGAGAATCTTAGTCATCTGACTGAACTGCGGGTTCTTAACTTGGCTGGAAATGAAATTGTTCATGTGAGTAGTGTTAGTGGAATGAGAGCTCTGGCTGAACTTAACTTGAGGAGGAACAAAATCTGCACTGTGGTGAGCATATTTACACCCACAATTTTTTGTATGGTCTGTTAATGAAGGTTTCACTGTAAATTAAATTCCAATGTTTTTATAGTGTTTTTTTTTCTCCCATGATTTTAAAGAACACATATCTTGGCCTTGATGCATGGCTCCGTCTGATCTTTGATAAATATGATACAAAGGAAAAACAGGTTTTTCTTCTGCTTTTTTAAACACCGAGTGAAAATTCATCACTTTGTTTCACTGATTTCTAGGAAGACGTAGATTTGCTGCCAAATCTTCAGAGATTATTTCTCAGTTTTAATTGCATCACAAGGTATGAACACTTGCATCACATGATCACTGGGCAAAATATGAGCATTTTAGGAGGTGGCTGCTTTTGGATCAAACAGTGTAACAATAAAAAAAAACACTCAGTTGTTATAGCATGACTCAGTTTTTTTTACTCAGTGTAAAATTTCTTGTTGTTCCAGTGGCCTTGTTAATGCATAGCTAGAATGAGTTTTCCTAAGACAAATTGTCCCCATAAAAAGAAGAGTAAAGGTTTCTTTCATGGACATTTGTTTTTTGTTGAGGGAAGTTTACACTTACTGTGTATCTGCTCCTTAGGTTACTTGATTTATACTTTAATTTTATGTATTTTTATATATATTTTAATTGTTACAACCATTTATTATTATAATTATAATTATTATTATTATTATTATTATTATTATTATTTAGCTTTGATGACATTCAGTGTTTGGCAAACTCCACGTCTTTGAATGAGTTATCCCTGGATGGAAATCCCTTTGCAACTCACTCTAACTACAAGCAGAGTGTTCTCAGAAATCTGTCAAGCTTGCGGCAGTTGGACATGAAGAGAATATCAGTAAGAGTTGTGTTTATATCTTGTTGTACAGATACAGTTCTTTGCTATCAATGCCGGTGTACATGTAACTTACAGACAAAACATGAAAGCGATATTCCGGATTAGTATACACGACACACGCCGATTGGTTTTGTTTAAAAGTGATTAGAAAGTACTCTTCAGCTCTTCAACTCCGAGCTGCTGAAGAGACAAAATCGCACGTCGAGAGTTAAGATTTCGACCATTTTGCGGAATATTGGTACAAACAAACTGCTTTTCTGGTTTCTATGCGGTATATACTAAACAGTTAATCACTTCAGTGTCGGTGAAAGTAGAAGATATTTACCTCCACATCCGCAAATAATAGTTAAGTATAAAAAAATATATCATATATGTGTTTAGTAGACTGGTTAGTTGCAGTGAAAGCCAATAACTAAATGCTTTTGACCAGTAACATATTCATGATGCTTGGCTGAGAGTAACATACTTGAACTGCGTCGGATGACTCCACTTGCCAGAGGGATGATCCAGAAGGTATAAGAACATACGACGAAATAATTAGCAAATGTGGTTTTGTTTCCCTCAGGAAGAGGAAAAGAGAATTGCCTCAGTTATGGCAAGAAAAGAAGAAGAGAAAAAGAAGGAAATCAGTAAATTAGCTGTACTGAAGGCAAGTTACCTGTTAACTACTGGCGCGCAATACATTTTTTACGTTTGTATTTATGTTTGTGTTGTCTCTTTTCAGGAAAAGCGTCGTATTGCTATCAACAATGCACAGCGACAGTGGGAGGTATCCCGCACCAGGGAAATGTAAGTACCGCAGGCTACCCACTGAAAATTTGTATTCTTGAAATGGTACACTGTACGTGTGATCTAACTCTGGGAGAAAGTTCGTCCGATATGCCTTTTTCTCGGGACAAACTGAATGTCGATCAGATTGGTTGGCTTGATATTTCAAGCGTTAAACGCTAGGTGAATAACTAACTCAGACTTCAAATATTTAGTGGTAGGAACGGCCATGATGCAGTCTGTGTGGTGCTATGTTCAACAGCATATTGAGGATAGCATGATTTCATGACTTTCAGGAGAATCTATTTGTATTTCGAAAATCTGGGTTTGAAATAATTAAAAATGGTGATATTTGGAAGTTTTCAGTTAACGAAATACTTTAAGCTTACAATAAAATGGAAACGAAATTACCAGTAACAAGATGACAAGGACTGTTTGACAGGGTTCAGCTTTGTGCAGCTACTTATTGAATTTTAAAGGATAAGCCATGATTATTTTGGATACCATCTCCATAAACACAAAACATGTGATGAACAAAATTCTGTTTTTATTTTAATAATAGTAAGCCAGACTCTTTGCCCTCAAGGGATAACTTAGAAATTTTGCCTCAGACCTCTCACAATGAGCTGCCTGATTCCTCAGAGTAAGTAAAGTTACAGCTTTTGTTAACGCATATGTTTGAGTGGCGCAGAATCGTGATTGCCGCATACTTTATTTTCTTCGGATTGGGTCGTGATCCTGATAACATCTTGAAGGAATGTCATGTATTTGGTGGTGAACACGAACTGCACTTATTTTTTAAGTTTTCATGGCTAATGTTATCACTCAATGCCTTCCTTATAGCCCAGGAGCAGGAAAAAGCATAAGACAAAGTTGGTTGAGTAATGGGAGATCGAAATTTCTGTCCACTCTATCCTTTTTTAAAAGATATGCTACATTGCAACGCTTTCGAGTAATTCATGTATACCATGGAATACCGCACGGGTCACTATAGGCGAGTTTATGGCGGAGAAACGTGAGGCAGTGTTGATCAAGAAAATACCATTGACAAATGTGATATTCAAAGAGAGTTTTTCTGTATTGACACAATAACAAAATATTTTATGCTTTATCCAGGCCCAGAGATGCTGTCCCCTCCCCTCTGAGTATATGCCACTTAGCCGAGCTGGATAGTGACACTTTGTTCTTGTATGGCCCAGGCTCCCTAGACGCGCTGGATCGTCACTGGGGCAGCCAGGCCGTACAAGCTGTCAGTGCGATCTCCTTTAAATTCATCGATTTTGACAACATCGTTCCTCAGCTGTACAAGATCAGGGCCCGCTTTCCTTCCCTGGTGGTGAGTACTTCAAGGAAAGATTAAACGGATCCATATAATATTAAATTTGCCAGTGGAATGGTAGACTTCAAAGTTAGGAATCGAAATAGTCCAGAGCTTCTTGAAGTTGTTGTATTTAACTTTTATATGATGTAGCATAAACAAACTGCCCTCTTTTACACTTAGCAGTGCTTGTAGTTGTCTTCACCAATTTGTTCAGTCGTTGCTTGGCAAATGATGTAAGTTTCTTTGAAAATACGACCACAGAAGACCGACATTGCTTTGTAGTGGAATCGTGCGGGACATGAGGAAAAGAAAAGCATTAGACAATCAACATCTTTTAGGTGTTTACACTAATCATCGGAGGACTTTACAAGACATGGAGCAAGATTTGTTACCATCTTTTTGAAATCTTTTGTAAGTCGTGGAGATTTGTTCGAAAACGCGTGACGCCTGTTGGAATAAAACCTCTACGAGTGGTTTACCTTTTAGGAGTGCTACACTCTGCAGGAATCTGTAGAACTTTTGTCGTCGTAACAAAATAATGAACGTTTGCACACTACATGATGTGGGAGTATCTCACAAGACAGAGCCAAGTCTCTACCCAACTGGCTATTTCTTACTTTCGTCTTTGCAGGGTCTTATTTTTACAGAAACTAACATTAAAAGTCTGCAGCAAATCAATTGTTTATCTTTGTTAAGAAGACTTGAACACATCTCCATCAGTACTGAGGGAAATCCTATAACATCCTTCACTCTGTGGAAACCTTATGTGTTGTTCCGTTTGGCACACTTCTCTCTCAGAAAGATCAATGATATTGAGGTTAGTGGATTCTCGCTTATTCTTTGTGAGCCTTTGACCCCTATGAGTGATGTTATGAGTAATTGTTGTAAACATAAGCTTCTAGAAATCTCCAGACTGCTGAGGCATGCTGACTTGCATACTGTAGAACTTTCTAGAACATTTCATCAAGTTACGCATTTATTATGTAATATTAATAAAACAGTTTTTATGTAAGCTTCTGGAATGTTTCAGAACACTTTGTGAATATATGTAAAGACTCACTTATGTAGTAGTAGAGTTAGTGGTTGTTGTTGGAGCGATGACTCTTTTGAAAGCTATACCGAGAGAGAGTTACTGCGGAAGATTGCTCATTTTAAGGAACTTTGGAGGCAGCAGTGAGATTGTGTCAGTGGTGAGCAAGGATATAGACTTTAGTGGGGTTAATTAAGTTTATTAGCGATGAGTATTGTACTGCTTTTAGAAGTCGCTCCTCGTTGCGAATATTGATCGCTCTTTAATAAAGTAGTTGATTCTGTGGGATTGTAGTGTTTTTCTGTCGGTTAGATTATACCGTAACAGTTATTGGCAGGTAATTCTCCTTACACTATCAACCCTGAATCACACATTAAGGTTACGAGAATAAAGGAAATGATCACCAAGAAAGAATCTCTCGATTGATAAACAAATTCTCCATGCACTTAAGGAACGTAGAGAGAAAAATATGGAGAATATGCATTCTGATGTTAGGGTGTAAAGGGTCAATGCTGAAGTGATGATGTAAAATTAGTTTTAATAGAAAGTTTCGGCCAAGCTGAAGGCCGACTCTGATTAACTCTGATTTACTTCGATCGATTCTAATTGATTGACGTCGAACTCAACAGTACACGCTTTATACACACTATCTTTGGACATGAGTGGGCATGTGGGCCAACTGACCTTGGAAGAATAAACGTCTATCATAACACTAACCCAAACACTTTTCCTAGAATCTCACAAGTGAACAACAACGTACCTAACGCTTAATGTACTTAAAACCAAAATGAGAACTTAAGGTTAGGACACAAACTAAGCATGTCCATTTATGGAAATAAAAGAAGACAGTTAAAATCAGGAATCTTGTCATGATCGTTATAGCTTAAATCCAAATAACTTCGGACTTAGAATTCAAATCCTAACTAACTGTTCGATGTAGACAAACTATTTTAATACTTTACATCAAGTGAATCAATGAAAACCATCAGGTAATACTGTACGATAAGAGCAGTGGTTGATAAGGTTGGGAAAACACACTCCGCTTCAGCAAGTTGAAATTTGATATGATTCTTGATTCGAGCTCGCCTTTGTGAAAAAGAGAAATAAAAGACTGTTTTGAGCCCATTCACTAGTCTGAGGCTTTTGGACACGCGTGTGAACTTTTTCTGTGATTCAAGTTCTTTCTGGTGGGTACGATACAAACGAATCTTGACATATGTACTCTTTTGTCTTGTTATCAAATTGGTTTACTCGCTCCTGGCCAGGTGACAGCTGAAGATAATGTCAATGCCGAGAAACTGTTTGGGACCTTGGCTCATATTACTACATCACAGTTGCCTCAATCCAGGCTTCTTACCATGCTAGGAGATTCAAGGTCAGTTTTTTTAAAATACTCTTTTCAATTCGGTTGCTTTTGAACCTTTGCTGACAGTAAGAATTCCGATTGCATATTTGTTGGCGGGCAATGTTGATATGCGCCCTAATATTTTCCTGGGAGAAAGGAGGGCCTCCCACAGTGAAACGCTCCCTTAATTCTGGCACGGTTTTCTAACAGCTAAGTTACGCTAATGCTATATGAAAAAGTGCTTTTTGGATCATGATATGTTTACAGTTTGCATGGTTTGAGGTGCGATCATGCAATATCCAAGATTTGGACTACCTATTACATATACTTTTACAGCTACATGGCAAAGTGGAAATCTTTATAAAATATAGTATATATTCTCAGAGGAAACCCCCAGATTTCATGAAAAAGCCTGGCGTTCACTTCTTTAGTTTACCTTCAGTTTGCACATCCCTATCTGTCCTTTACTCGGTTATGACCAGTTTTGCTGAAAATTTCACTAGTCACGCTAAATTGTTGTCTCTCTTGCAGCCGCTCTATGGGATGTCCCAAAACCCAGCGCTTTCCGCGGAGCGCGTAGTCAGCCTTTTTTCACCCTCAGAATTTTGACATTGTTCAGAAACGCATCAAGCAGTGCTCAAGTTAGGTTCGATTTCCCGCCGCTGTTCGGGAATATGAGCCCGCGCTCCTCCTCTCGAACCCACTTCTTCTCGGGGAGGAGGGAAGACCGAACACGAGAGATCGGCGGAAATCGAGCCTATGCATAATTCCGCTATTTTCGGCTGTTTGCGTGACAAAAAAATTTGAAGAAAGCTGTTGAAAAAAGTATGAACAAGGTACCAGCACATGACTACCATGGAAAATAATTGTTTTTGAATGTCCTTCACTTAGCTGGTTGTAATCTAGTTTCATGCAACTGGACCCTGACTATTTTTCGGGTTGCATTTTTGGTGTCATACCTGTGTGAATAATTTCATAATTTTCTTTCGTTCCATTTTCGCTCTTCATTCACTATTTATTTAATTTACTTCAGTAATTTGATTATTACAGGCGGAAGCAAGTGCTTGATGCAGATAAAAAGAAAACTGAAGGAAAACACGAACGGTAATTAAAGTTACATCAATAATTTGTGGATGATGAGACTAAGCATCTCAAAACACTACGTTTTATCGTCTTTTTTGTATCACACAGGGCGCCTTCGAACGAATCTGTCAGCCGGGCAGGACTGCAGTACTGGCCAGCTGATTCACAGAAGACTCATAGCCAGGTACATGTAAATACAAATTTTAAGTAAACTTCATATATCGTCGACTATAATTCTAAGAATAAGCGCTTTCCCGCCTAACAAATCAAGCTTCTTTGCAATTGGCACCTCCTCCATTTCTTGTTTTAATGCTGAGTAAGGATATGAGGGATACAAAACAAAAAGATCTGTTCAATCATACGCGTGGGCGCTTATTCGAGGACTTGGTATAGAACTTAAAGTAATAAGCTACATCATACAGGCATTTTTATTTGTTGTTACTCACGGTCTATTTGAGAATAGACGCCTGTACAAAAAACAAAAAAACAAAAAAATGCCGGTACTATTCAGCTTATCATGCATAAAAGAGGTCTTGTACGAAAAATGTTGCAATGCGCCTGATCAGTAGTGGATCACAATAGACGTCACATTGTCGTTATTTATCTTTTGTTGTTTTGAAATAGGTTAGCTTTACGATCTTTATTTTTACTGAAACAGAGTATGGAGTATGAAGATCTTTATACATTTTTCTGGTAGTTGAACTGTAATTGTCAAACCTCTCTTGAGTCAGTCGCCTGCGGGTCTCGTCGACTCCAGCTCTCGTCGAAAGTTCCTTTAAGGGCAGTTCTTGTACATTTATTTGCGCACCTTATATCGTTAAACATGCTTCCTTTGTGGTTACCCTTAACATGTTTTCATCTTGTTTAAACGTACTCGACTAGAAATTCCACTTAATTGAATAAATAGTTCACCCAACGATGAAAGCTGTTTCTTAACACGAGGTGACATTTCTAAATATTTCTTGTTTCGTTTGGTAGGAAGCAGAGGAAAGGCGCTCATTTGCTGCGAATTATATGAAAGAGATAGCCCACACGGCCATACTTACTGACCGAAAGAAAAAGAAACTGAATGAGATATTGCCAGGGTTGTTAAGTAACATGGTTGAAAGAGCTCTCACAGACTTAAATGATTTAGACAACTTTATGAAGAACGGCTTTGAGGAAGTGAAAAGCAAGTGACGTTGAGGAAGAAAAGTGTAAGAAAAGTAATATTCATCACCTAACGAGCCCTGTCTGCGGTACTAACTCTGATATGGCAAAATGAGACTTTGGGAGTCTGCAACGCCCTGGACGTTCACAGCTCTGGGACTGGAGAAAGACAGAGCACAGCGGTGAAGTTTTAAAATTATGTCTAAAGTAACAGTCATTCTAGCAAAATAAAAAGAATATCTGCGATTGGTTATAATATGCGAGCGTCTTTTTTTTTTTTTCTCCACTGGTGCATTTCTTAGCACAACTTGCTATTAGACGTTTTACTCGTTCACTCCACTTATTATTTCAGAACACTTAGCAGATTTATCTGAATGTTTAAATTTGTATATAATATATACTTGGGAGAAAGTTTCTCACGAATTTCCTCAAAGAATAGCGTATGAGAATATTTTGTTCGTCTAAAAGTACCACTGAGGGACTGTTTCTTCACTATGTATGGTGTCTGGTGAGATATGTGGCAGACTCTCCGAATCCTGTGCCAGGTTTAGAGCATTTTTGTAACCGCGTATGGTGTGAACATTACAACTGACAGTTATTGATGAGTCACAGAATCACACGTGACAGCTTGTTCATCTTGGAAACTTTTCGTTATTTTTTTCAAAGTTTTACGATTGCATTCTGGGTGTTTTTCTCATTCTTAGTCAACCTCGATCCTTTTTGGAATTTATGTACCACGGCAAATTATTACTTTAAGGGTTTTTGTGACAAAAATTCAAGCTTCTTCGATTACAAAACGATAGCGCAAAAAATTGCTCTTTACTTTGTCACATCAGACGACTTAATATTTTAATCAAGCAAGTCAATCTAATGAGATTAGCTAAGATTACGAGACCTTTTAAAGATATATCTTCCTGTGTAGGATCTTCAAATATTTTATCGAATTACTAGTAATATGATAACATATTTAGGAGCCAGCTTGTAACCCTGATTAGTTTTACTAACACGTCACCGACCAATATTTTGAGTTTGTCACCTACTTTAATATTGATAACAACGCTAAAAATTCACTTATGATTTCACCCTTGAGGAACTTGTGAAAAATTCTTGCATTATGTTTGTTCTGTGCAAAAGTTAACGCGGTTCATGTATTGCTTCAAGGAGTTGCTGGTCAGCTACTCACATTGTCTTCATAATTTTTCGACACTTTCGTAAGTTATCAAAATAGTAAGGAGACCTTAAGAAGGAAAGAATGAAACATAATTCGTCGAAAGTAGATAACTGATGTAGTCAACTATATAACATTAAGGTTCAGAGGATAAAAATGACCAGCAAAAAAATGAAAAAGATGTCAGGAAAATTCCGTTGAAAGGTTATCTAGTCCAAACCAAGCCAGGATGTGGATTAAGAGTACTTATCTTACTTATCATTGCTTATCTATGCCTGAGCTGCTTTCGTGCAATCGAGAACATCGAGAAGATCTTCTGATGTTGATAAGGGTATGTCTCGTCAACCAAATTGATGTAACTCAATAAGCGCATTTCCTCTGTGGTTAGGTCATGCTTTTAGTATGTGCTCTGGATTCTTGACCTGCATTCTCTGGATGCAGTTCAAATTCTGTATTTGACAAGCTGGACTCTTGGCTGCAAAAACCAAACCTCTCGAGTTTTGAACCGTATTCAGTGGTTTTAGATATGAGATAATTGTAATCAATTATGAAGGAAAATTGTGTCTGGTAGTACATTGAATAAAAATTGAGAAACGAAAGCTCGGTATCAATGCACTGCACAGTGTACGCAAACTGACAAACATGAACAGTACTTTGTGGAAGACAACCTTGTCCTTTAACTGAAGATCCTACAATCCAATAAACGACAGATCAGTCGGAAAAGTTTTCTTAAAATCTTAGATGAGAGAGTTATTTTAACATTTTTATAAAAAAATATCCAGAATGCTATAAAACGATTTGAGAATGGGAAAGTCGGCAAAAAGGGATGAACATATTGTTGCTAGGCTAATTATATTCTTTTTTTTTTGCGGAGAAATAACAGTAAAATTAGAGACAAAATTTAAGATTGTTTTAACGTTTTGAGAAAGTTAGTAAGGAAACTAAAATTGTTTGCAATTCGCTGCTAACTCTATGACTTCAAATAAATTTGAAATAAAGGAGCCCTAAGCAGCTCTCCAGATTCATTCTCTACACATCTCTATATTTTGGAAACACGAGAGTCCCGAGGAAAAAAAAACATTTTATGACAAGAAGAGACTAACCAATCAAAACTAACAGCCAGTGGCATAAAACTGACTAATTGATGTCAAGAACTAGACTCATGATATTCGAATGCTGACAAACATCTCTTGACCTGACTTTGATGATGGCTTCCGCTCGCGTTGTCAAAATGTCACTCACCGTCACCGAGAACAATACTTTTAAGGAACATCACTTGTATCATTAGGATCAAGCTGATCTCAAACATGTGACTACACTCTAAATTCACATTTTAAAAAGTGCCCGAATGAGGACAGTTGACCAATATTGCAGCAGCTTCTCCGTTAGTACATTGCCTGTGCAGTTAGGCCGTCCATCAACCCGCACGCACATACCATACACAATCACATCACACTCACTCAGGTTATTTACGGACGTGCCTTTATTCCCTGGAATCAGTTTTTCCAATTTTTTCGCTGCCTCATGAAATATCCTTTTTCAGTGTCCTTTTCAGGCTCTTGACGAAAGGAGACGAACGAAAAACAGCACGAGTGTGACTAGTTTGTTACCTTCACTCGCCCCGTCTTTATCACACGTTTCTGTCGCAAAAGGAGTGGTTGGAGAAAGCTAAGATTGCAGAAAGAAGAAGCATAACACATGAAAACGCAACTGGGTGGCTTCGTTAAACTACACGTGTTTACTCTCAAGGTCTCTTTCCCTACTTCCATCTTTTTTTTCTTGAAATACAGTAGATTATGGCTATTTTCAAAACGAGCTATGATATCGAAAGCAAGAGGAATCTATTGAAAATGTGAAATGATTGAAGCGATGGTGCCCATTTAATACCCTTAGCATATTTTTGAGATTGAATGCTTCCTTTACAATACTATGGAAGATGATGGCTCTGTTATGGATAATGCTTTCAACAGATGTTCTTTTGGTTCGTGAGAGACCTGTTCGAGTATCATCAGCAGTCTATAGCTCTGGTTGAGGAAGGAAAGTTGGAAAAATATTATAGCCTGCGAGTAGGCCATCACATATTGATGTTGCACCCAGGCCCCCCGAGTCCTCCATCTTTCCTCGCCTCACTCACTTTTACGCTTTGCGTCGGGAAGTAGGGAGTTGCTTGTCCTTCAAGTGCCCAAGTCAAACGAAGAAACAAGTCAAGAAAAAAATCAAGAGTAGAAAAAGGAGGTTCAACCAAATTGGGTCAAAGAAGAAAGGCCGATTGACAATTGTATACTATGGTTTGCTTTGCTTGGATCGCAAGAGAATCTCCGAGGTGTCCTGGACAATACACTTACACGTCTTTCGTCAAAGATAATCTTAATCGATAAATCACAGAATATTCATACATGACCAACTAGGCAATACATGTCAATATTTCCTCTCGAGCACCACTCGGTTATACCTAAGTCAGGATTCTTTAAATTATCAAACGGAAGGTGTTCCTTTTGAATTGGCTGTTACGACATTCATTCAGTTGAAACGCTGACAAGACTCGGAAACAGGAAATATTTGGTCGTACACACCTTGCTACACCCAAAATCGAGGATCCTGGAAAGAGGGACAGATTTTTTGAGAGTAGTTTCATGGCGCGAGACATGATATCAAAGCAGGGCACTTAGAGTGATCATTTATGGTCGGGCTAAAACTCTTATTTTTTCCCGGATTTCCGTCCACATGTGCAAGGTAGAAAAGTGTATCAAGAATTAACAGACAAATTTAGAAGGAGTTTTAAGACGTTGCACGAATACAAGTTTCGGCGCAACAGTCGTAAGGGTTAGCTAATCGCCTTTTTTTCTCGTCGTGCTCCCTGGAGCGCCAAAATCCCTCGAAGTCTGCAATTTGTGACAAGGACTGTCAGCCGTGGGATAATATGGGATTGATTTGACCTACGACACGACAATAATGTTAAATACGACGGATTAAAAACAACAATAATTATATCATCACGAACCTAGCAAATATTCAACTTAGATCGCTAACGTGGTTCAGTAAAAAGCAGAGAGAAATTAAAAAGAGATCTTTGAGGAGTAAAAATAGCTGAACACTTTTCTTTAGCTCCCTACTGACAATCTGGCAAACAAGCTGGGGAACATTGGTTTGTAGAAAGGGGGAATCGTATTACAAAACGTCTTGGGCGGAATCTCCTTGTCACTACCGCAAATGCTAAGAATTTGATTTCCAACGGATCATATCACTGGAAGCAGCTGAAAGCGAGTTTTGTTTGGAGATGAGCAATGGCATTGCTGAACTGTCCTAAAACAAGATCGAAACTCCAAACTTTTTACCGCGTTTCACTTTGATTTTGCGGTGGAATTCAACAGGAAATCGAACTGACGACTCCCGAGACGAAATTTCGTAACTCGGTTTAAATAACGCGGCAGAACACCGTGGACAGTTTCGCATTTGTGCGACAGTGCTGACTTTTCACATAATATGAGGCAGTATTTGAGGATAAGCTCCATTGCATACAGGTAAGGAAGCATTCCTACAAATATCTGGTTTGTTATGATCACTATTAATGCGAACACCAACATCGATCGAGCGTCTTGGTTGTAATCGCTGATGAAAGTGGTGTGAGACTAATTAAGACGAATTCTCTTCTTTGCTTCGTTTCTTTAGATCTCAGACATGTGTTCTTATCTTTGCCGTCGTCTTCAGTTGCGTTATACGCTCAGGACAACAGGAGGTCAGCTTGAATTTTGCATGCGATTGTTGCATATACAGTGCATGATTATTGTCTTTTTAAATTACCAACGTGAAGTACGAGGAGCCATGTTTTGATACGACAAGCGCCTGTAACCCATGTTGACTCTTTTTGACATGAACGGATGACTGGTTTCGTGACATTTGAAGTGTTCTTCGTCTTAAGTGTTCTGCGTATGATTTTCAAACGTAGTGGATAAGTGCTATGAGAAAGAAAACATGAAAATAATATTTAAAAACCTCTACTTAGGGCAAGGTCGTAAGCCGCTGAGAAGGTAATAAAACATACGCTAGAATTTCTCAAGCTTAACCATTTTTCGCGTTGGTGTGGGGAG